TTTCTTTGATAAGATGATAGTGTATGAACATACGTTTTTCCTTTCTCACTGGATATCATTAAAGACGTAAAATTCTAAGAAAAATCTATATGGAATAAATAACAATCTTAACGAAAACAACATAAATTTAAAGCTAGTAACCCTTCAGCCTTGCTTAAACCTAAAATTTTCCAACTTCGTTCTGTAAAATAATAACACAAATACTTTATTTTCTTTCGCTTCAAGCTAATCAGCGAAGTGAATGATTCTAAAAATAATCATAAAAATTTCCTCCAAGTTTTCTTGATTTTCTACGAATACCAATTACTTTTTCCATTCGAACCAACTTGTAGAAACATTGACCACAATGTTTTTCTTTCCAAAAAAATATCAAATTATCAGAATAGCCAATGAATAGTGTGAATTAAATAAAAGGCACTTCTCAGAACTAAAAGGTCTAAATATCTTCAATAAACTCCGAATGCATTTCTAATAAAATAACGTATTTTGAGAAAAACCTAATCAGCCGATAAATTGAAACTATCAAGCCACCGTTTTCTTTAACAAAAAATAACGTGGAGACAGTTTTGCAGAAGAAAAAAATCCCTTATTCACTTGAAAAATTCACTAAAATTCATGGTTAACTGCATAGAGTTTTTTTATTTCATTTTACAACTGACATTAAACAGCCAACGCAATTTTGGGTTTGCAGCTATCAATGTACAACTCCGTAGTCTTGTAATTTTGAACCCAATTCAGATGACAAGGGAACTCCTGGATCAAGCATTATGCATTTGCAGATGTAGAGAAAAAACACGAAAACCTCCATCGGTCAGCTCGATGGCAAAATTATTATAGCTCATGATCTGTCGACCACCGAGGAAATTTTTGCTCCAGCACTGTGGTCAACGCGAGCCGGGAGCCGAATTCGAATTCACCAGTCGTCGCTGGGAACGAACCTGGGTCACCTTATTGAGAGACGAATGCCCTATCCTACTAGCCAACGTGACTCACTGAATAGAGCTCAACACAGATGATAATAATGGAGATAACAACGAAAAAAAGAAGGAATCCGGGTTACTAAATTTCCAGTTTATTTTCGCCCAAGGATTTAGAATTTGAGGTATTGTACCAATTTTCAAGCGTTGTATTTTGGGGGGGGGGAGAGGAGATAATCCTTTTTTTTCGATTCTCACATTATTAGAATGATATGGAGTATAAAAATTCTAAACAAAAATTCTATGTTTAAACAAATATGTTGCCAAAATAAGCGTTAGTATTCAAGCAATAGTAACTCATTGGTTGAGTGTTTCTAATGTTTTCAGATCAATTCCTATTTAAAGAAATGATTAAGTGCATAAAATATTGTGCCTGTTTACACTTTGTAAATGTAGCGCAAGCGGAGTTATGCATCTCTTTCAATTCCACGAAGATTTTTGTCGTTTGGTTAATCATCCACAGTAGGCCTAGAAAAAATCTAAAAAGTGAAGAAAAAGCAGAATTTATCGTTTGTATTAAAGTATATATTGGAGACTCCCTGGCTAAGCGGTATCGCCCGCCCAACGCTGTGCAAAGTATGGAGGTAGCGGGTTCGATTTCCACTACAACTGCGGATGTATTTTCGTGCTGTTCTTCTCTGTATTGTGTTATCTGTTCTTCTATTTGACAAAGGTTTGTAAGCCTAAATTAAGCACACAAGCCTGCATATGTTTGTTTCAACAATAAATAAATAAAAAAGTCGATATTTTAGCTAGTAAAAATACATATTTTAACTTAACGCTGGTTATATTCTTATTATTTTCGCCTCCTATCTCAATTTTTTAACTAATTTAAAAAGATTTTTTTTTTCACCATACTTCCTTAAAACGTTTTAGGCAAAATACTAAATTTCACAAATGTTAAGGGCACGTATTGAAATTTGAAACTTTCATATAAAATAATTTAGTGTGCAGTCGCATACAAATTGCGTAAGTTGTTAGTTCTTGTTTCACTTTTTAAAAAACTTCGGCGCTTACTAGGAAATATCATTCCATTTATTTAAGTAGATTGTAGAATGTTAAAGAGTTTCTTGCATAATTTATTTATTTTCATATATAAGCAGGCATAATCATAAATCTGCTTTATCTAGATTACGTTTTTGATCTTTGTCTCAACTTTTAATCTCTTTTTTGAAATAACAACCTAAAACGTTTATTGACAGAGAGACTGTGATCTCTGAAATCACCAAAGTTCTAAAAACTAATATCAGTATTAAAGAATTTCATTGAACCAACAGAAATAATATTTCATTTATTCCTTCTCATATAATATGTGGATCAATGCAAAAAACGTCCTGGACAAATTGAGGAACAGATAGTAGAAATTAGTAAGGGATAGCGTAAAAATGAATCCATATGTTTTGGTGAGATTCGAGCCCACTACCTCTATGATGATTTGTGGAAGGAAATAACCATTTAAGTCCCTTGAAGAGAATTAACCGCATTAAGTTCTTATTTTCTAGTTAAGTGCTTACGCAATTGTCACTTGTAAGTGCTGAGGCTTATCATTTGCTTTGGGGAGTGAACTCTGTGGTAATTGAGGATTTTAATTTCAACGTTTCTTTAAACCTTTTTTTTTCTTAATGCCCACCTGTGTTAACATCCGTCAATTCAAGCATATACAGGGCGATTTTGTTGGTCTCTCTTTCAGGGGCAACATATTAGGTGGGCCAACGTCACTCCCACAGTGAGGACAGATAGTACAAAGAAGGAAAGAACATCCATACCTTACTCGGAATTCGAACCCAAAACCTTTCTGATGCAAGGACAGCTCCCTGCCCCCTGCACAGGCCGGTCGGATCCTTAAACCTTAACTAAGAGATTTGAGAGGGCCGTGGTAGCGCAGTGGTTAGAGATTCTGAATCCGGTACAGAGGGACCCCTGTTCGATCATCGACTCCGCTAAGATCCACAGAGCACATGTCAAATATGTGCTCGTTAAAACTGAGCCCGAAAGTCCCGTGGTCGGTCGCTTAGCAGTACCATGGGTACAGGGATCAGGAGAAAATTTTCCTCCCCTTCAGAACTAAACCTAAATTGAGGAATAGGGCATCACAAATTGTGATATAGTGTCTTCATATCATCCTCAGAGATGTTTCCCAGGCCAAAGCCTGTAGCCCATTGTGCAGCTCTAGTGCGACATAAATAAAGTACCTACCAGAGATTTGAGGACAGTTTGTTCATAAATGGGTTTGTTAGCATGTCATGATATTTTTTCTACTTTAATTAGAGCTTATTTGTCATTTTCTGGCACATACTTCAATGATTGTTGTTATTGTTGTTCATTTACGTCGCACTAGAGCTGCACAATGGGCTATTGGCGAAGTTCTGGGAAGCATCACTGAGGATGATCCGTAGACATGCCATCACAATTTTGATCTTCTGCAGAGGGGGTGGCACCCCCGCTTCGGTAGCCCGACGACCTGCACGCGAAGTCGAGCACTTTACGGTAGAACAGTTTAACGAGGACCAATACCGCACACCCTCGGTCCCTACGCAGACTGATCCAAGTGGTCACCCACCCGC